CGAATACTTATCGCACTTTAATCGCCATATTTAGAACCGGTCTTTAAAATACCGGCTTCAGCGAGATGACCGGCGGAATTTCAATATCGAATCCGACAAGATCTATCCGGCGATGTACGCGCGCACTCAGATTACGGATCTCGACAGATTTTGTCGTATTAAGTGAATATTACGGTAATGATATTCTCGTAATGACGAGATGATTTGAATATTACATTTTCCCTCCGTTTCTGCGCGCCTCGGTTCCGCCATTACGGCAAATTGAAGCGAGAAAGCGGGCGGATTCGGCGACCGCGTCCCGCTTTCCTTCGGAAACTGTTAACGGTCCGAAATAAATTCATGGCTGTACGGCGAAAAAGTCGTTGCGTATGCATTGGATATGCAAATAAATCCTGCCGCGGCGTTCGATCGGAGTCGTGTTTTTGCTTCTCGCGTCCTGAAAATATTGGCGCGCCGCTGGCAGCGATCATTGACATTACAGTAATTTCCCAGGCGGATCGTCGCAGTTATACATACGAGTCGCAGTTTTAGAACGATGACGGAAGTTGTTGCGAATTGCGTATCGCAATTTCATTAATGCGCCGCCGAAACGGTTTGTGAACGTTTTGCACATGAATATTAATGGAGCAATCTTGCAGAGTATCTGCGTATCTTCTGAATTATGTAATAGAGAAGAAGGTAGAAATTCGTTTATATACGCTTCGACGCAACGACAATCAATTTCCTCGATAGTTCCGCCGAAAAAAATCAAAGAATATATCTTGCTGATAATCTTGCGTGGAATAATGATGTTGCGTCAACAGCGCCATGAATTGAATCTCGTTAATTCAACAACAATATTAATTAAAACAAGTTCGTATTTATTTGATTAATTCTGTTATTTAATTAACGAGATATACTCTTGCTGCTACGAACTGGCGCTGTTAATTCAATATCCGCTTTTTTCCACGTAAGTATCGTACCTTGTACGAGCGTTTGTATCGCTAAAAATATGTTACATCTCTGATGTTCGCTATTTATGGATTTAATTTTATATGTCATATTTATTCTGCGCACGAACAGAAAATGTAATGGATGTTTCGTATTTCTACCTTTTTCTCGACGTGTGTTTAGTGTTGGTAATATCTCGACGAGAAACGGATCCCTGTCGTAATTACGGGCAGCCATTAAGTACACTTAGTTAGAATGATGGTTGGAAAAAAAAACCGGCCGTGTCAACATCCTGCGCTACCTGCGCAAAGGGGCCCTCGGTGCCTTGTCGTTAATTATTCGCGCCGGTCCCTTGTCCTGCGTCGTCTTCCATTTCCGGTTACAAAGGATCCCCCCTTCTCCCGCGTATATCCTGTCTGTTTGGATCTAGTTAAGTCTGCGGAGCGTGCAGCGCTGAACGCAATATCCCTTTCGTGTGACAATAATTGATATTGTTATACGTCGAATGGTGTTACTCCAACGAGGCTACTGTAATTCAACTACGCGTTTAACAATTGTTGAACATTCACGTTTGTTTACTCGCGTATGATCCCTGCATAGGTGAAAAGCGATTCCTTTGTTTTCACTCGAGAATAAAGCTGTCTTTGTCGCGTTTTTATTTTATTCGTCATCCTTTGAGCTCTTGATTTTAATTGCCTTGCGGTGTCAAAACAATTATTTTTATCGCATTGCTTGCAAAGAAACAAGTGTGAAATTTAATTTCTATGAAAAGTAAACAAAGCGAACAATCATCAAATTTTATTTTGTATAAATTTTGCAACGAAATAAATTTAAATATCGTAACTCGAGCGAAACTCAATTAATAATGAACGCCAATCTTATTGATTATGATAATTATAACGAATGAAGCTTTCTCCTGAAATGCTTAATGGCGCGGACTATAAAGGCAGAAACGCCGAATTAAACGGGCGATCTGAAAATATCGCAAACCAGATCTACGTGCGCATAGCTCCAGTTTTCTCACGTCCGATTCATAAATCGCGTTTCTTGCGGTCTTCCGAACGAAGCGAACGGTAGTCTCTCGTCGCTGATTAGGAAACTTTGCGCTTCGCTGTTTCCTCCCGACCGAGCCGTCTGCCGCGAAGCTATATTTGATTTGGTTTTAATGCGATTTCTCGCGGCAACAGCCGCGACTCGTAACCGCTTCTGGCAATGGCACCGCGACTTCTGAAGAGAGCGAAACGGATGGCGCAGCGAAGAAACTCGATTATACCCTGCCGTCCTTGTTCATTCGATGACGAAGGCGCCGCCATTCCGTTAGTTTGATCTGTCTTAACTTTGATAAATCCTTTTAGCGATAAAAGCTCTTTGGATTTTAATCCCGCGGTTATGTATGTGTGTGGTGGATATATAAATTGTTTTATTAGGAGTATTTACGGACAGAAAAATCATTTTGTATTAAAGTGGCGCAAAATTGACGCAAACTTGTGGCTTAATAATATTTAACAAGATTGGTAGCTGTCTTAATTTCAGTCTTAACATTTGTAAAATTTAAATTTAATTTAATTACGTGGTTTCTTTAAATTGGGATTTGTTTTGGAAATGATAGGGAACTTGCATAAAATCATTGAATAAGGTTTATAAATTATCATACTAATTTATGTAGGGAAACTAGACTACTTTTGATACGATAACACAGGACTCTGGGTAATCGATCATGATATACGTCTATTTTCCTTGAATGTAATATGCACATATTCAAGCGCAGTTTTGCGAAGTCACGTTTAACGGGGATATAAGTCACCTTGGCAATATCGACACGGCGTTATCTGCAAGAACACGGTGCAGATTGAAATTTCATGACAGCGCAATCAGTCATGATCATTCTTCCTTAACACTGTCATCAGTGCGCGTTTATCTGTTTGCTAAGAGCCCAGGAATCATGCATAGGTTTTCACGCGCTGATACTTTCCATTTTTGCATTTGATGCAAGTTTGAAGACATTTGCTCATCTACATTTATGTATTATATTAGCCATCTTTATAATATTTGCCACATGTTTGCGCGAATTTTTTAAAATTCTTCTGAGAATAAATATTCGGAAGCGGTATATATTAATTCTATATTAATTCAAATACACACACTTAATCGCAACTGTTAGCTTCTCGATGAAATTTGATGCTGGTATTTTTATTGTTCAATTGTACGATATTAAACTTGTCTGGGACGACTCGCAGTTATCGCGAGAACGTTAGCTAGCAGCGAGGTATTTGCGGAGATGGTGACAGCCAATGCGCCGCTTCTTTAGTAATATTCAGTGACTTCGTGAATGCGCAAACGAGAGAGAACTTGTGCCGCGATAACGTTCAACGGAGTCTCCGACGTAGGGTTATCAGAGGGCGATATCTAGGTTCGTGGCACAGGGAGGAGGGAGCAGGAAACTTGACTGTACCCGAACAGACATCTCTCGTGGCAAGCGCAATCGATCGTGCTCCTCCTTCGTAGGAACCGTGTTCTTTGTGACGCGAGATAGCGCGTAGTCGCGATGCGTGAGCGCGCACCGATCTCTCGAGGAAGCCCTCCATTCATACGCCGCGATATCGCCGCGTGCGTATTTCGTGAATCGAAGCAGCTCGACTTCCATCTCGACGACACTCTCTCTCTCTCTCGTATTCTAACTTTTTACGTCACCTGCGCTCAATTTCCCGTCAGCTGTTACAAACGCGTGACAACGTGATATGATAAAAATAAATAAATGACAAATTAAACCAACGCTATACTTATGTAAAATCGTAGAATGTAGCAAAATTTATTCACTGATATATACGCAATAATCTCTAAAATCCGTAACAACTTCAAGCCACTTAACAGATTACGCAACCTAACGATATACACAGCACGTTTCCGCCCCGTTGTAACAGTATGAACGAACTATCGATCAAGATCGGA